ACCCTTCGAAGGTTCCTGTGCAGCCTAGGAAGTTGCCCCTTGCCAACCATTGTGCTTTGCCCCCGAGGGAAGAAGCGTCATTTTAATATCTGAGATTCGGAATTTTAACTTCGTGACTGCAGACGTGGTTTTAAAATGCCCTTCTCGAGGCCTCCCTTCCCACTTCCATTTAAAGCAGTGGTTCTCAACCTTCCTAATGCCGCGACCCTTTAATACAGTTCTTCATGTTGTGGTGACCCCCAATTTCATTGTTACAAATTGAACATAATTAAAGCATAGTGATTAATCACAAAAACAATATGTAATTATATATGTGTTTTCCGATGGTCTTAGGCGACCCCTGTGAAAGGGTTGTCTGACCCCCAAAGGGGTCGCGATCCATAGGTTGAGAACCGCTGAAGGTGGCACGATGGACTTTTTTTTGGTAGTTGGGGGAAATGACAGAACATATTGTATCACAATTTATTAATATAATGGACATATACTCGGCTGTATGTGCTGTGTGGAAGCATCCATCGGTTACATTGTTACTGTTTCCTCGAGTGTTTGAGTTTACTGAAGTATTTTGGCCGACCCAGGGTTTCCTAGCTGTCGGCTTTATTCTATCTTGTATATAATGGTATGTATAGGAGTAAAAGTGCATAAAAATTAGTCTATAAAAAGCCAAAAAGGCAATGGAAAAGGAAGGACTTGTTGTCCTTAGTATCAGTGTGATCGGTATACAGCAGCGATTTTCAGCCTTTTTCATCTCATGGCACATATTAACTAATGACTGAAAATCTGCAGTACACTAAAAAATACATTTTTTTGGCCAATCTGACAAAAACAAAAATAGGGATAGTTTTGATTAATTCATACCGGATAGCTATTGTGTTGGCTGTTCTCATGTTTTAAAAATTCTTGTCCCACACCAGTTGCAATTTGCTGGGTAGTGTGTTCATTTGAAAGATGGGTGATAGTTACTGTGTTTTAGGTAAATTGTAGGGAGAACAGACTGATTTGCAGTAAGGAGGGAAACAGTTTCAAGTTAACTAGCAGCGTTTGGGGGAAGACAGAATGGAAAACTACTTTCGTATTTGGCGTTAAAGGAGTGCTGGAGGATGCAGAAATCTTAGACTAGAGTGAGTCTAAGGAAACTTGCCTTCAGTAATTACATAAACGCTGTTGTAGTTTGAATAAGTTGGTTTGTTCTTCAGAATGGTATTGAAAGTGAACTATTCTTAGAGAATAGTTTGCTTGTCTCTTGTCCCACCTGTGTCCCATTGCCTCCTGTATTTTCTTGGTGGCTGTGAAGCACCTGATAGTTGTTTTTTTGTACCTGTAAGTTGGCACTCTCCCTAAAATGAACGGGGACAGAAATACTGTAGATGTTATCAGAATTCCTTTTTTTGTTTCCTTTGTTGGTTTTAACTTCTGTGTAATAGCACTGCTTCTGCTTTCTGGTGCCAATTAACCAAAACCAACTTGACATTCCAAGAGCAAAGTTAGGGTTTCTGACAATGATTCTTTTCTATATTGAGGCAGCTTTAAAGTGATTTTAATGCATAATCCTTTAAGAGGAAAATGATAATGTTAAGTATTCTAGGAAACCTATAAATATTTGTATAAAATTTACCTACTGTTTTAAGCAAGATGGCCTTAAGAGGGTGATCACCTGTAAGAGGGTAACACTGAATTGTCAAGATTGAAAATGCTAGTTTGATACATTGTATGTAATGAATTTTTTTTTTGGGGGGGGTCTGTCATTGTCTGTGTTTGTGGTGCAGAGTAACCATCTTGTCTAGATACTGGAATTTAATTTCAAAAATTTCGGTTTTAAGTTAGTCTCGTAGGTAGGTAGACTGTGTGTGTGTGTGTGTGTGTGTGTGTGTGTGTGTGTGTATGTAGACCATTTTGTATTCAAAATGCAATTTTAACCTTCTTCATGGTACTTCTGAGAGGTCGTCCTAATTTCTTGCAGATGTATAGACTGAGAGAGGTGGAAAATAAAGGTTAGGCAGATTTGTAAAGTGTGATAAGCACAACATTGAGCTCCAATACCAGTTTGGTGCTTATACCACTAAAGTCTTCAGTCTGCAAATTTGATTCCTGCAATGTGCATTACTAGTGCTTTGCTCCCTACCTGGGACACTCTGGAGCAAGTAATATTCTTGAATAATCAGTTGTTCAAACCTTTGCTCTGGAATTGAGATTGCTTGAGAGCTTCCTGTTTGGGCCAGTTCCATTGTTGAATTTGTTGTGAATATAGTTTAAGGTGGTTTTTTTTGGTTCCTTTTATATCAGGAACTTTGAAAATTTTGAAGATAAAATTAGGTCAGTCAGATTGTTTTCTAATTCTGTTCTTGATCCCCCACCTTACTTATTATCTCTCCTCTCTCCTTTAAAAGTGGTTTAACTCCCCTCCTAAGTAGTAATTGTTGTTAATAGCAATTTTGGGTTACTTTGCTTCCCTTTCCCCCATTGTAAGATTGAGATAATTTTTTTAAAAGTTAGATTTAATTATTTTTTTTTCTGGAAGTAAAAAGATACAGTGTTTAGCTGTTTTATGTTTTGTTTTGTTTTTAAAAAAGATTTTTAAATTGATTTTTAGAGAGAGAGGAGGGGAGAGGGAGAACTATCAATGTGAAAATGTGAGAGGGAAACATCAATATCAGTGCCTTCTGCACGCCCCCTACCAGGGATCAAGCTCACAACCCAGGCATGTGCCCTGGTGGGGAATCCAACTGGCAACCTTTTGGTGTCCAGGATGACGCCCACCAACTGAGCTACACCAACCAGGGCTGTTTTGCTGTTTGTTTGTTTTTGAATATATTTTTATTGCTCTCATAAAGCAGTGGTTCTCAACCTTCCTAAT